ACTACGTTTAAGGTACGAGTTAGTAATTAGAAAATAATCAATAGATGCTGAGGTGGTGAAAATTGGCAATCGGAATAGTTATTTATTACTGGGCAGCAGTCTTATAGTCTAAATATTTAATAGCAGTGATGAAATTTGCATGACCTAAATTTGCAGTAAAGCAACGGAAAATGTTAAATCTGTAATTAAATTTAAAAATTCAAACTAACGGCAAAGTAACGTAATCCTATTAGCAGGGTAAGTATGAAATTTTAATAAAAGCGTCGTCGTGTCGGTTGGTTCCGGCCGCAGCCGCACATCCTACCTTTATTTATCTCGCTCTCAAATTTCTTCTCGGGGCCGCCGTTGAGTTTTTAATACCTATGCACACTCATTTTTTGATATACTAATACAAACTATCCAAGAGAATATTTTGTTTGTTGTTTTAAAGTTAAGAACTAAGAACTAAGATGGCTCCATCTCTATTTCAAATACGCTAAACATATTTAATTCTAATAATGTATTTCTTTTGAGAAAAAAAGTTTTTTTTATCCACAATTTTTAGTAAATTTTTATACTAGGTACCTAAATAATAACATTTTGAATTTAAGATCAATAGATTTTTTTAAATTAACGTCTCTATAATACATTTTGTTCTATTTTTATTTGTTGTAGCATTGGAAACAGGGCCTTCAGTAAAAAATAATACATCAAACGCTTTACTATATTTTCATTATTATCATTACGGCCTGTATAAGTCTACTGCTGAACATTTGCTTTAGTTGGGGCTGGATATTTTAAAACAAAAAGCTGCGGTCGCCAACCCGCCTTTCAATATGGGCAAGAGTGGCATTTATCAAGTGGCAAGTGGGCAAATAGGCGATCAATTGGGGAGGCCTGTGTTTGTGTTTAGCTATCTCGTAACGGGACTTTTTATAGGGTGTAGCGGTAAACTAATACACAAAATCATATCACTTTAAACGCATTAAAATCCACTTCAAACCATTATTGAAACGATAAAACAAGATCAGCAAGCCGCCGGCGGTCAAATTCCCGCCAAATTTATTTAATCCATATTCTCAACAGCTCATAGTCAATCCGTTACTGAACGTGGCCTCTTCCACACTAGCGAGGATTTGCATTAATAAACTTTCGAGATAAGAAGCCCTTTCCTACATTCGTATTTGTTATGTAAATAAATTAGCTTTTTTTTTTTCAAATTTATTATAAGCCAGTGCCTAACTACAATCCCACCTAGTGGTAAGCGGTGATGATGGCCAAGGTGGTAAATTGGTCTTAGTACAGCCTATTTAGATTTTAAACATTCAATCGTAAAATTTATTTCTGTTGCGTTAGTGTCGATTTAAAAATCTGTCACATAATTTTGAACGTTTGTATGAAACTAAAAATATCACTAGGCAATGGGTGGAATTTTTGGGTGTAATACATATGGACTTAACTAATATTAGCGACCGTGAAACCTGGCAACTTTGCCATTTTTGGAAGGACTTGGAAGTTTAGAACCAATTTTCCAACAAAAAATGTACTGTCACACTGGGCGTCAATATTAAATGTAACATTATATTCTTCATAGATTTGGTATTTATTATTGATTTAAACAAATAATAAGATTAAATAGACAAAACACTTAAAAAAGAAAATGGCAAAGTTAACCTCACTTTGTGGCAACTTTGCCATCGGGGTTTATAATGAAAATAATAGGACTTGACTTCTAGGCTGAAGGTAAGTTTGTCTCATAATATAATACACAATACACAGAGTTATGATTTGCTTCTTTAATTGTATTGTAAATAGCAAAGTTTACTCTTGTGGCAAAGTTGCTCTCCCATTTTTCAATATTTCATACAAACTTGAATATATGTGTCTGCGTTGTCAAAACTCCTTGATTACGTACTTAACTTAATTTTTTATTTAAATCTTATCACAATAATTTCTTAAATATATCAAACAACAATACTCTCGTCTAAAATTAAAAATCAAATTAGTGATAAAAAATAGCTTGTTACAATCATTTTTAACAAGTATTCGTGTTTTTATTATTATAGGTCGTAATAAAATGATGCCATGTCATAATTATATTAATAATCATTAAAAATGAAACTGCTTTTTGGGTGCAAATTAATATCAATACACTAAGTTGAAATTATAAAAAAAATATCGACAACGCAGTAAAAATAATATAGATTTCTCTTTTCTTTTCCTTCACTTTTGATAAAGATGAATTGATTGACGACTCATTTGGTAAAATTGGTCTAATGGACTGCTACGGTGAAATTTATATATAAACACTACTACATTAGTACTATTATTTATTCTGTGACACTACGTAAACATTCTATGTATGTATGTTTGTATCGATACAAATATACATATATAGAATGTTAAGTATAGAATATTTTGTTTAAATAGTAAAAATATAAGTTGAAAATGACAAGCCTTGGTTGCAGCAAAACATGGCAAAGTAACTGTCACATCGTGGCATCACTAGTATGGTAATTTTGCCAAGTTAGTTTTATAGACCAACATGTTAAAAACAATATGTAACATTTGATAACCACTAATATTACGTTACTACAAAGATATAGATACCAACATTCAGTATTTCAAACAAAATCAACAAAAGTTCTAGGGCATTGAACAAAGAGGTTGTTTTGCCGGTTCAATTCTGCGTTAAAATAAAATGCCAAAATTTACTGTCATGTGTCCATATCGAAAGAAATAATGTCAATTAGTTATTGTATATTCATCCAAAAAATGGCATAACTCGAAAAACTTTACGTTTTCCGTTCTTATCGTAATATTGTACCAGTACACCCCTGATGTCAAAGTTACATTCCATTGGTAAAGTTGCCAGACCTGACTGAACTTAGTATTACTAACACATAAAAATAACAACCATAATGATTTCTTATATTTAAATTAAACAAATACATATTGTGTTGAAATACTTTACGGATTGAATTGCGTTTAATTTTAACTTATAATCACTTCGAGACTTTTTCGCGTAATTCCCGCTTAAAACAACATAAAAATGGCCTAAAATCCCGACGCTCCAGGAAGTCAGTGTATGTAAATATGTCCCTCGTCGTCCCTCCATTACATCAGATTTAATAGACATAAATTCCCGCAAAAGAACCACTGGTACTATTAGTTTGAGTTCGAGTATTAGCGTGAGGTTATTGAAGTTAAAAAAAAAAAACAAATTTCAACAGAGAAAATGTCTGGATATATCATCCGCTTGACTAAAATATCTAAAATGCTGAATGTAACCTGGGTTAAATGTGACAAATACTTTAAACACCACAGGTTAATAATAAACACGATAAACTCCTTTAATTTTTTTTTTATAGGACAAGGGTGACAAACGAGCACACAGTCCACCTGATGGTAAGAGGTTGCTGCGGCCCATAGACATCTACATCTATCCTCTATTACAAATCAAAATGTAGATGCGTTGTCACCCGTGAGGACTAAGATGGAATGCTTCATTTCCAGTAAAAAGGGCCTCCGGCCACCTGCACTCACCAAGCGAAACGCAGAGGTTTACTATCTACTTCACGCTGGTTTTCAAACAATTATTACAACAAATTAATTTTTTTTGAGCCAAGCATATTCCAGCCATTTAATATATATCTTCTGTTTTGAGATTCACGCCGCAGTGTATTATGTATGACAGCAGCACGAACGGGTCGACATGTTTTTTTTTCATAGAACAAGGGTGACAAAAGAGCACACATTCCACCTGATGGTGAGTGGTTGCTGTGGCCCATAGACATCTACTCTATCTTCTTTTTAAATAAAACTAATTTTACGGATTTTATCGCGTATATTAACTTATTTTATATTCCCGACGTTTCGGGTGCTTTCCAGCACCCGTGGTCACGGGGGACTGAGGTGTTTGACGTCCTGCTGTCATAGTTAACTACGGCTACCTCCAGTTTTTTAATATTAATTTTTGGTTCGATTTACGCAGAATGAGCTTACAGTATCTTGAAGTCTAGCGGTGGTATACTTGGGTTTGAATTTGATTTTATTAATTATAGCAGGCACACGCTCGACTGTGGCTGGCTTCACTCGGTCACTGTGACGTCTGCTTGGGATCCCATAATTAATAAAATCAAATTCAAACCCAAGTATACCACTGCTAGACTTCAAGATACTGTAAGCTCATTCTGCGTAAATCGAACCAAAAATTAATATTAAAAAACTGAAGATAGCCGGGCTAACTATACGCGATAAAATCCGTAAAATTAGTTTTATTTAAAAATACTCTATATTCGTTTGCGAATTAAAAGCTCGCGATTTGAACTAGTGCGAGACATTCCATCTGAGTCATTAGGGGTGGCAGCGCATCTGCATTTTGATTCTTAATCGAGTACAGATGTAGAGTATGTCTACGGGGCGTAGCATTTACTCAGTATCAGGTGTGAACTATGTGCGTGCTTGTTACTTTCACTTCTATAATAATGTATTACGTTTTTATCATTTATTTATGACAATGTTAACACTTTTTACCGCCGATTAGAGGCGGTGTAAGATAATCATCTCGTTGGTGTCGTAAAAAGCGACAGGGGTAATGAGTGAGATGGGCAGCAGTATATTTCTGCTCCCTATCTCGTTCATTATAACTCAAAATAACATAAATTAAAATAAAAAAATTTGTACAACTGACTTCAAATATAAATTATTAAGAATAACTCAGAAACTATTGGTCACACCTTGATCAAATTTATATGGGACCACATAAGAAGCACCGGCTTTTAAATAAAAAAAGAATCATCGAAATCGGTTCACCCAGTAAAAAGTTATGAGGTCTGTAATTGTCCGTCTCCTTTTTGAAAGCGGTAGGAAATTGCGGTTGCCCACTTATCAAATGTGGTAACTATGGAAAATGATATCCTATGAAAAAACCTTGAAGGAGGCCTATGTTCAGCAGTTGAGTTTTAATAGGGTAACGACGGTGATAACACATTAAAGTCTTCTTAAACTAGTCGACTTACTTGTAAGAATACGTGAAGAATGGCGTGAGGGTCTCCTCCACCGAGATGTGCCGCGCGCGCACCAGCTAGCACCAGCCTCATGCAAAATGGAGCCGCGAAGCACAGGCGACGCTCCCACGGGGACCACGCGCGCATCGCCTGCATAATTAATCCTGAATTAGTTCTTAAAGTTAATGATACTGGTTACGAACCCTAACTTTATTAAGAAATTATACTATGACAGCTACAACCTACTAAGAGCTAAAGGGATTAGGGGCGGGACGCACACGCCTACTTCGATAACTGCCCGAGGATTTACCAGCGAACAGGCTCACAGTTTCTCTGCGTGGATATTCTTCGTAATGGGTAATGGGTTTGGTCGTGGTAATGGGTTGGCAGCCGAACCGATTTAGGTATAGTAATCGACATAGTCTAACGGATTGATAAATTGTAGTGGCTGTAATGAATCAGCCATATATCTTGATGAACCGACAACCGATATGCGAAGAGCCCAGGATTAGATGAAGTGACGATCTGTTAAGAGATGCAGAAAGTATATTTGGCTCAGGACCGCGGTTTGTAGCATTCTTGGAGGGGGAGGGGGAGGTTTGTACAGCAGTGGATTTGTAAAGGGCCGTTATGATGATGATGGAGAATTATTAACAAGTAAGTCATACATAGTATGACTTACTTGTTCTTAAGGAAGCTTTTTATGAGGATGACAAACGGGCACACTGTCTATAAGATGATAAGAAGATGCTATGCCACACTCATATATATCCCCCATTAAGAATCAAAAGGAAGAAGCGTTGTCACCCTTAAAGACTAAGTAAATGGTAACAGTAAAAGAGGTTTTGGTTTTTGTCAGAAAATATGAAACACTCAATCAGTATTATGCAGCTATTTTACGCTGGTATTCTATGCAAGCCAGGACCTTGCCCCGTCTAGCCGATCCGTTCGTGAGGTAGTCGTAAGCACTGCACTTGACTCTATTGCGTGCTAGGCGCACTCCTGAAATTTTATAAGTACATAAAGCCAGCTTTCATCTTCGCTGGTACCAATGTAGCTAAATTTGATTAGGAAAAAAACAGATGTCGAATTTGTTACACATTTGTATCTTTAACATATTTGTATCTTTTTGGGGTTCCGTACCCGAAGGATAACCAGCGGGAGCCTATTACTAAGCCTCCGCTGTCCGTCCGTCCGTTCGTCACCTGTCTGTATGTCAGCGGGCTGTATCTCATGATCCATAATAGGTACGCAGTTGAAATTCACAGAATGTCTATTTCTGTTGCCGCTATAACAACAAATAATAAAAATAAAAATTAATTAAAAATTAAATAGGGCCTCCCTACTAGAAACTTGTTTTACGATGGTACGTAAAGTAGTTAATCTTGGGTCTGATCTCGCTCCTGTCGTGGTGGATTGTCGGTCCATCAAACTATGAGAGTGCGGAAATAGAGAGTGCACCTGTGCTTGCACACACACTCGTGGACTATAATCCTATCCTGCGCAGATGGCTAGTCTCTGTTGAAACTGAGCGCAGTGACCGGATTTCTGGAGGACATTATTATGTATTTGTATACGTACCTACAAAATATTATTTCGAGAGTGGCTCTTTCACGACATTTACGTATATAAATCCTTTCCACGATACAACCGATATCCTGACGTGGGGTAAGGCTTTCTTTAAAATTATAATACGTGTAATAATACAGTAATAATACATACGCCTCATACGTGGTAGAGTCATGCTGCAGCTATATTATAGTATTAGCACGAATAGGTTGACTTGACCACAGAAGGACCATGCTCTTACAGCCGGCGTATAAAAGCAGCTTAATACTTAATTCGTTTGGTGAGTGTAGAGAATCGGATACTCTTTCTAATGGATACAAAGCTTTTCATTTTAGTCCTCAGGGATGACAACGTACCTGGATTTTGATTCGTAATCGGGAAAAAATGTAGATGTCTATGGGCCACAATATTCACTAACCATCAGGTAGACTGTGTGCTCGTTTGTCACCCATATTCTATAAAATAAAAAATAATTCTAAGATGGTAAGTAATTAGAATAATAAAAATAATAGCCTTACTTTATAGAGGCCAAGCAGGCTACCGAGACAGTAAGTAACTAGCGCGGTATAGCGCAGCAGCGCTGGTGCGCAGTATACCGTCGCTGTCACCATCGGGATTGCACCTGCAACAATAACATATTTTTATATTAAACTAGCGATCCGCCCCGGCTACGCTCGCATTTCTAGATCTCGAGAACAGTGCCACCTACCGGGTGCAAATGTGAATCTAAACCATCTAGGAACTCATTCAAACACAAAAAATGTCATCAAAATAGGTTGAGCTGTTTTTGAGTTTTAGCGAGACCAACGGACAGCAATTGATTTTTTTACTACACTAGCGATCCTCCCCGGCTTATCCCGGATTTCTGGATCTCGAGAACAGCGCTACCTACCGGGTGCAAATGTGAATCTAAACCATCTAGGGACCCATTCAAACACAAAAAATTTCATCAAAATAGGTTGAGCTGTTTTTGAGTTTTAGCGAGACAAACGGACAGCAATTGATTTTTTTATTACACTAGCGATCCTCCCCGGCTTATCCCGGATTTCTGGATCTCGAGAACAGCGCTACCTACCGGGTGCAAATGTGAATCTAAACCATCTAGGGACCCATTCAAACACAAAAAATTTCATCAAAATAGGTTGAGCTGTTTTTGAGTTTTAGCGAGACAAACGGACAGCAATTGATTTTTATATTATACTAGCGATCCGCCCCGGCTTTGCACGGGTAACTTCTGGATCTCGACAACATCGCCATCTACCAGGTTCAATTGTGAATTTAAACCATTCAGGAACCCATTCAAATAAACACAAAAAATTTCATCAAAATCGTTCGAGCCGTTTTCGAGTTTTAGCGAGAATAACGGACAGCAATTGATTTTTATATAGGTATAAAGAACATATAGAGACTTACTGGCCAGGTAGACGTTATTCTGCCTTTTCCAATGACCCTTTGTCCTATATAAATCCTTAAATTCGCAATAAAAAATATTGAGGGTCTCTTATCCGGATAAAAACGGTAACGTTTACGTATTATATCCCGATCAACGTCCGTATACGGTCCATATTTTGGGACAGAATTTCATTGGTCAGGGCTGTTTATTAGTCTCTTCGTTTGTACTTATTATTTCGTGAAGCATTCAGCACGACACACGTACTGTTATTTTCCGGTTTGAAGGGAATGTCGCCTTTATGACAGGCTGATGCCTTTCATCGTTAGTCCTCAGGGTTGACTATGCCGCATGATATAGAAATTCTGCTATGTGTCGTATGAAGAGTGACGACGATAACCGGAGACCCTGTTTACTAATAGTAGTGTTTCATTTTAGTCGTCTAAGTTAGGTGCCTTAGGGTCTTAGATCCACATACCATTAAGTAGATCGCTTATTTGTTACGCTAATAATATAAAAACAACACATACCTACAACGAGTGACGCTTAGTAGATTGCATTGCAGTATAACGTAATTTCAAAAGCGTTTGTATTGTATGGGCAATACCGTTATTTATCATATTTTCACTTGGTAGAGCTAGACGAAGCCATTTAATGTCGCTGCACTACTAAGCTGGCACAAGACCACGCTCTCACAGAATTCCAGCGTAAAATAGCATTAACACCTGTGTGTCATATGGTTAGTGATGAGACCCGGAGATCTTTTTACTGGTAATAAGGCATTCCATCTAAATCCTCAGGAGAGATGTAGATGTAGCTATTTGTGGGTATGTTGTACCCAGAGATACCTACATTTATCCTCCATACTTACGGTAAATGATGGTAACCTGGCGACCAAAGTGAGACTAAGGTATGGCATACAAGACAATAGACAATATCTTTTCATAGATTAACGTTGACCTTATTGAATAAATATTATCATTTTATTATAAAAGTAAGTAATTTTTTATTTTGGTATCACAAGGGGGCGCTTGTTTTTGGTTTCAATGAAGAAGTTTACTCTTCCTTTAACCAGTTTCTACCAATCATATATAACGTGTTACAAAATACCCCATAAAAATATAACTAATTATCAAACCAAAAATTTTGCCAACCCCAGTAAGCTGTCATGTCAGGGGCCAAATTATTTTACAGAAAGGCTTACTTTAGTTAAGTTAGTTTTTTGTATTTTTTTTTTGCTGCCTGATTACAAGGATGTCATTATACTCAAGTACTGGCTTCAAAAATGTCATGTTGGAAAAAAATATGTTGTCAATTTGGTTATGTGAAGGATAGAGTGTATTTATCCGATTGCCCAACGGTTGCCGAGATGGAACAGCGTGTTAGATCGGTTTTCGCAGGTTGTTTCGTTAGGTTAGGTCTTTTAAAATTTTTGTCGTTACGCGAATTAGGTAGGAAAGTAGTTACATTCTGCGTAGTTTACTCTTTATTTTTACTGAAATAGGGTTTGCACATAAGTGAAAATAATAATATTTTTATGTGTATTATACAGCGTTACTACGTTTCTTAAATATTTCGTTATAAGGCCTCATTTAACCTCCTTTCGGCTTTACGAGTTGTCTTGTAACAGTCCGTCCGTCACGCCTGTAATCCCCAAGGGGTTAGACAGATTCCAAAGAGTAATAGCCTACTCGGACCAGGTTTAGCCAAACGGAAAGAGCAAGAAGGAATATTGTGGAACAAGTGAGAGGTGCGTAGCTACACACAATGGCAATATCCCAATAGCCATCTTTCACGACATGCTAGGTAGGTAATACAGTTGGCACATTTATTTTTTGTTGTAATCTCCACATAAACATGGGACCTATAAGTCCCAGACCAACATAGGTCATACATACTTTTCTAATTGATTGATTTCTATCTTATTTCTATACATAAACAGTATCAGCATTATCATCATCATTACGGCCTAATAAAGTCCACTGCTGAACATAGGCCTCCCGCATAGATTGCCTCATAGTGGGGCTATTTTCTACTGTCGCTTAGCAAGCAGGTTGGCAACCGTAGCCTACTATTCTGTGCTATTATTTTGAATTGTTGTCAAAATGTTGTTTCAATATCCTTTATCTGTTACGATACCTACGGAATAATGTCTATACTCTTACGCCGAATAGAAAAAACCAAGAAAAATACCACGAATATAGGTTACAAATCGTCAAGTAACTTAGGAATCATGTGAAGAACCTGTAAATGACGTTACGGATATTAATCATGCCGCGACTGCTCTCTCTCAGAATTTCAATATAAGCAAACATTGGTTTCCGTTACAGGCTAGATATTTTAGTGAAAACCTATGGAATTGGTATGAAACCTCGGTCTGTCTTTTCTGCTTCTCTCCATCCGCCACAGATCTTTTTCTTTGAGACTATTTCACGTAGATGATTGAAATGCCGCATAGTCAGCACGAGGATTGAAACTTAAGCAAATGTATCTATTTGCACAATCAATTTTTATACAAATTCTAATAATATATGTGAATTATATAAAACACTAACCGGGTTCCTACTTGAAATCGTTATTATTAAATAAAAAATCATATAATTTGAATTTGCGATTTTATTAGTGTCTCCCAGAACTTAGTAATTTTACGTTATACGTTAAAAAAATTCATTGTTTTTTCCAAAATATACAAATAAGATTTTAGTTGACTACAAAAACTATGATGACATCATTTTCTTCCATTACCACGCAATATTTAAAAAAGTCTACATTTTGATACCTTATAAAAAGAGTTTCATTTATTTGACAGTTAGCACCTTTACAAATAATTTAACAGTGGTTCTCACACTAGGCTTGTAGACCTGTATCGTGAGAGCCTATGTATATATCGACGGATATATATATAATTTTTTTTATAGGATCGGGTGACAAACGAGTACACAGTCCACCTGATGGTAAGTGGTTACTGTGACTCATAGACATCTACATCTATCCTCAATAAAGACTCAAGATGCAGATGCGTTGTCACCCGTGAGGACTAAGATGGAATGCCTCTTTGCCAGTAAAAAGGGTCTCCGGTTCTCTACACTCACCATACGAAACACAGCAGCGTTAAGCTGCTATTTTACGCTGGTTTTCTGTGAGAGCGTGGTTCTTCCCCGGTCGACCCGACCCATTCGTGCTACAAACATAATATAGCTGCAGCATGGCTCTACCACGTATAAAAACAGTATTTTGAATTACTACTATAATAACAATATCAATATCAATCAAATATCAATATGGGGCATATAGCTACTATGACAATGTTTGGGGCAGCTTCTCTGTTTGTTCATAACTAAGCGTAAGCAACCAACTTCGTATTTTCATTCTAGCTGTGTTCGTTGAGCAATCTCTTATGTCGCATGCTACTTGGTTAAATATGAGTGTTTCAATGAATGGACTAAATCGTTTTGCGAAAACTGTGCGAACGCTTGGTAATGGCATTTGAAACACACGTTTATTCTTCAGCTCATTGTATTTATGTGAGCCTAATATTGTTCTGTGAGCACATGTAGCCATACATAAGACAAATAGCTGTCGAACTGTAGGTACTTTATTATCTCTGTATAATTTAACTGTTGGATACCTGATTTCTTGTTAAGCATAACTTTCAGGACCGGACGTTGAGCTCTCTCAATCCAATTTTAATTAATATGAGTATCTCTTACCCCGCTGTGCAAGTGTAGCATACGTTTGACGGTTTTTTTTTGTGAATTAAGTTTCAAGGTTATGTAACAGAATATGGCACGGTATTAAAATTTTCTGAAATTTTCTTTAGTCTACTTTTGCCATATTCTAGGACGGATTTCAGGGCAGCGTTACCCCATACAAATGTTTTCCTCTCTTATATCCTTGGATAAGGACACTAGAAAAAATATTTTTTCGCTAAAATCCATACCTACCACTGCCATTTTGTTCTTTTTAATAATTTAATTATTATTAATATAAGTAACTTCTTAAAATTACTAAAACTGCCCAGTTATACCGAACGAACAAACATAAAAGCGCTACAGTTTAAATAAAACTATATTAACGGATTTTATCGCGTATATTAACTTATTTTATATTCCCGACGCGACGTTTCGAGCACTTTACAGCACCCATGGCCACGGAGTACTGAGTTGTTTGACGTCCCATGTCATAGTTAACCACGGCTACCTCCAGATAAAAATTATTGAATTCTGTTCCGT